TTTTGGGTTTCATCATAGATATAGAGGTTATGTGGTTATGTTGAATTGGGTGTAGGCATAATGGTTGCTGCGATTTATAGCTAATGCCCCCACCCAGTGGTGTAGCTAGGGTGTTTGATGCCGAGTGCGGCATCTCCTCATGATGCCCCCCCCCCCCCCCTCGGATATATAACTGCGAAAATACGTTATTACACGTTTACAAAATATACTACAAATAAATAATACGAGCTTTTTTTGGTCGCAAAAATATCAATAATTTTATTGACATCTGTTTTCCACCAATTGCCTAGTTGGTGAAACGCATTAATTCTTGATCAACTTAATTAAGTCTGGAAAACTTTGCTCTAATAAAGCCACACTTACCGCTATTGTCAGAAATATGTATAAATATGATAATGCTACCTGAAGAGAATCTTGGACATCATTTTTTTTCTCTCAAAGCAGAATCTGGCATTCAATATGCATCACAAATATTTAAACACTATTAAGAAATAAATCATTTAGTTGCATTCTAGCTGATATCTTTTTATTTATTTATTTTTTTAATTCAAGATTTCAAGCAGGTCCTTGTTTGAGAAGTTCAAAGGCTTCTGAAGAAATTGCGACTGTTGACGCCTCTTTCGCTCCAGGTGAAATTTTGTTTCGTCAATGCTGCTATGAGCACTATCGAGATTGATTTCAATCTGAGGATTCAATAGTTAGGATAGCGACAAAATTCATAATCACTTACCACATCATGATGTGATCATATTGGGTGATTATTTCTTGAACTATCACGTCCAAGGAAGAATAAATCTTAATCCGTAGCTCATTCTTATGTGTTTATACAGAATCTTCACCTTTATTGCTTAGCTTCTTTTTATTGTGGCCAATTCGCCTTGATATTCCAACACCAGAGCACATACTTTCGCTGAAGGTACTAATGGCTTCAACGTTGCACTTCCGACTAGTAGTTATCGTTGTTTTCTGTTTTCCATTAAAGTGCGCAGTCTCGAATTGACGATCATTCTTTTTGATGTTAGACTTACCCGTCATTTATTTTAGTTAATTCAAGGGCCAAGAATCCAAAATAGTCGAGAAAATGAAGACTAACAATCCGCCTACTTAAGAGATTTTGTCTTTATTATAGATTCTTATTCAACTCGTTCGTGATGCCCTTTGAGAGAAAAGGAATGATATCCAAGATTCTTTTCATTATCATATTTTTACCTTTACGAACCTTTGATCCCTGCCTTCAACCATTTTAACCAGAGAAGACAATTTCTCCGTCTGAGCTAGCACTATTAGCGCCAGCCAGACTTTATCAATCTTGAGCAGCGCCCATAATATTAACAGAGTGGCAAATGAAATACATTTTTAAATCAAATATAGTAGTTAATGTTTGTTCATGTATGTACAATGTGTGCAGTTTTTACTGAGAAATTTAGTGCTCAGTTTGATGCCCCTTATCACATGGTGCCCCGTACATTGCTAGCTACGCCACTGCCCCACCCCTCGTGATATATTTTCAAATGATTCCTGGAGTTCTTTTGCTGTTGTAGACGCTAAATAAATTAAATTTTTTAGATTGCTGAGAGGGGAACAAAATAAATAAGTATATATATTATTAGATGTATTAAGAATTTTTTAAACAAATTTTAGAATTCTCACCTCCCCCCCGTACGTATTTTTCCTGCCCCGTCCATATTGCACCTCCTGGTGCTTCCTTTTTTTTTTCTTTTAAATTTTGCTGAAACACTCTGATTCAATGCATGGCTACCAACCTTCTTGATTTAATCGCAAGAATATTATTGTGATGACACTATGGGTGATCAATTTTATAACGAGATATTATTTTTTATTTTTATAAGAAAACTTGAAATAATCTGTCAGTGAAATGAAATAATTTAAAAATAATAACATCAGGAAGATTAACAATGCTTTAAAAATATTATTAATATAAATATAATTATTAAATATATTACATTTGTTTTTAATACATATAACTTCAGACACATAAAAACTTAATGCAAAAGTAAGTAACAAAGTATTTCAAGAATATCAGGCAGGGGCTTACCTAGGAATTTACCATCATTTATGGGCCCTTGCATTTTGCGTAATATTTAATGTAAAAAAAACTGTCATTTGCCCCCCTCCTTAAGTGGAGGCTTGGGGGATTTTCAAATTTCCCCCTCCCTTGATATCAGGCGAGCTAAAAGTCTTGGGAATTCATGTAATTCCAAATTATTTTTTTTATAAATATGTGTATACAAAATTTCAAAAAATTCTAATATCTTTAATTTAGTATAATAATGTAAGATGTTTGAATTCATATCTGCTCATGTCAGAAGATGCATAATAAGTATTCAAAACATTGATAATAATTGCCAAGCCTCAGTGTGCAAGCTATGCAAGAGAGAGTTTAGTCAAGCCTCAGTGCGCAAGACTGAAGAGGGCTGATCAAATTATTGAATCACATTTTGTATGTGTAAAACTGAACAATCTGAAGATCTCTATTGAAGTTAGGAAATTTTATTTAGGAATATTTAGAATTTAGAACTAGATAGAAGGTTAAGGTGAAAAGTTAAGGTAAAAGGTTCAGAAATGTCATAAACCAATACTATATAAGGGATGCAGAGCTAGCTGTCTGGGTCATTGTTTTAATTCATTAGTCAGTGTCATTATTTTGAGATAGATAGTTATTGATAGTCAGTATCTTCACTATGCTTTATTAATTCAATATTAATATTGAGTCAGTCAAGTTTTTTTATTCTATTTGTATGAGTGATTTATGTTTAAATTGTTTGTTCATCGCTGGATAATTTGTTTATCAAATTGAGTTTGAAAGTATTAAACACAAGGAAAATGTATTCAACTCTTTGTTTCTTTGGTGTATTTAAGTAGAGGTATCTAGGCACTTCAAGAATGTGTGTATCTCTTGTAATTTGGGGAGACAATACTACTCTAAAAAATAAAATTTTGACAACAATAATGATTATTTTTCACATCACAGCACATAACTTTGAATAGGTGATATCCAATATTTATCTCTTAGTTTTTCCTAAAGTTTAACAGCATTTGTTTTCCTTAACTTACTCTCTACCCTAATTTTTCAATGTTACAAAATTTCTAAAGACTAACATTGAAATGTGAAAGTTATACATAAATTATCTAAGTTTTCAGATAGTTAATCTTTAAATACGCACATAACATACAAATCATAGAAATCGACAAGCACAACTTAGATTCAGATCAGCTTTAGATGACCCACTATGAACATGTGAGTATGTTCCTCCACTGTAATCTACACAGTATACAGGTGCCCCACTACTTCCTGGACATGTGCTGACATTGTATGTAAATTTATGAAAATAAAAACTAGCTCTTTGCTTGTCTTCTTTCACCTTATGCATTTCCCTCCAACAGCCAAGACTGATCTGCTTTGAGCAGCCATGAGGGTGTGACACAACAAAAGCTAATTTGTGTATATCTCGAGATTCACGATATTTCCTGTACACTTTTTTCCATATAACACTAAAATGTGTCCAGATTTGTTCAAGTCTGCTTCCCAGGTTAATATCACAAGTCACACATTTCAGTCTGCACCAATCTCTTGTAGTGGAAAGTTCATATATACTAACTTTATCAAGGACAACTTTGGGACTGCGGTTGTAATCATAAAAAAAATTGAGTATTGTGTGACTGGCCTCCTCTTCATTAAATATCACATGTGCAGCAGTCTCCACAAAAAACTCCCACCAAAAATCATTGGGTTTGCCAGATTTTTGACACTTTGTACACCAACATTTTGTGAACTGTTTATCCACTCCACCTTCTTTGTCTTTACATAATATTGCACTGGTGACTCTTCCACTTCCATATCGCATGGTCTTTTTTCCTCTCAACTCAATGCAAGGATAGGGATTATCATTGCCTGGCCAACAATTTGGCCTGAGCATGCTGGTCATTTTCACTTCAATATGAACTGTTAAGTCAGCTATAGCTTTTATTAGTTCATACAAATCTTCTTCCTGATGGCCATCAGGTAGATGTTTCATTTCAAATAAATTAGCAGGTATAAACTGTGTATGGCCTGGATTTTTTTGACACCCTTTATTATGTTTGTGTAAATCAACTTCTCCACATTCTGACACTTGAGTTTCATGATAACCTGCAAAGAAAAAAATATGTTTGATAAAAAATTCTTAATAAATTATTTAACCCCATATATGCTGAAAAGATCATACTACTTGATCTGGGCAGTGTAATAGACTCTCATTGGTATCCAATGCCACCTTGAACAGAAGAATATAACATTTAAGCATTGAATGAGGAGCTTTAAGTTATTATTATTATTATTTGTTAACTGATCTTAATCTAAAATTGTAAAGTAAAATAAATACATATTACTATTTGACATTGCATAAATCTATACCAGAACTTACCAATTAAATGGTCAATTGAGTGAAATTGTTGATTCATTATAGTAGCTATCATCTGTAATATATCACTGGATCTGTATGGTTTAGTGAATACATAATTTTTATCTTTTTTTTATGTAATCTAAACATATCATTTCTCTTATCTAATACATGGTTAATTGGAGAGAAAAAAAAACTTTACCTTTAAAAAAACAACAACACTTGCTTCATATTTTGGAACGGGTTACTCAATGCACTATCTTTTTTTGTATCAAAAAACTAAAAATATAATCTAAGTTGGATTTTAAAAAAAACAGAAGAGTAATACAGTATTAAGTCATAATGATGACACTCCTAGATGAGACCTATGATCATGATTATATAACTGCCACCTCATTTTTAATAGGCCTAATTGTAAATTGTATAATTATATATATATATATATTATTATATTATAATATATATATATATATCTACCCCCACAAGCGTGGACAATGTCCCTTTTTTCTTTTGAGTACAAGCTAACTAGATCTAGATAGATTTAAAATGAATAACTATACTAATAATACTAGCTATAGAAATTATATACTAATAATTAATATTAACAAATATAAATAAGGAGTATTTGATATATATAATCTATATTAAATTCATATTGCTATTAGTTTAGTTAAAACCTCATATGTATGCCTAGATCTAGAATATGTATAGTCTGTATTTAATTAATTGCTATTGTCTATTCATATTTATTTATTAACCGAGAAAAATAAGTCATTTTGGCATTGAAAAATCTTGTCCTAATTTGTAACAACAAATAAATTATAAATATAGTAATCTTTCGAAATATAAGAGTTATTTCAATCTACCCATTCAGGATTGAAGAGCTTATTGGTTAGCTTATGACCTATGACCTTTCAACTTTAAAAAAAGTTCAAAGTCCTTAGCTACAAACTTTGGTCTTTAACCTTTGTACTTCTTCGATGCTGAAAGTCTAAATTCTTACACTTCAACTCTACTAGAGCTCTAGTATAGATATTCTTAGATACTTTGTAGATCTATATATCCGTTAGATCATCTAAATCTAGATTTTGTAGCTGTAGATTATTTTTAGTCCTAGATCTCCTGAGGAGTCTAAGTCTAGATGGCGTCATTTGCAAGACAGGTGAGTCGTGAGGACGAGTGACTCGGTCAACTCAGTGAGTGATTGATTCACTGTAAATTAAATGATTGCCTGATTCATGATGTTTGTTTTGATAGTCTACAAATCTTAAATCTAGATTCTATATAATATTAAAAATTATTATTTTATAGATCTATATAGATATCTAGATCTATCGATATAGACCTAGATCTAAATGTTTTACATGTTTCAGATGTTCATGAAAGTGCAGTGAATATCAGATTTGGTTTTTGAACTAAAATTTTCTAAAGCAGGATAATGCACTGTAGATACCTCAGAATTTGCAATTTTTTGGTTTTAAATACCGGAAATAGTGCTTGGCATTGGGGCTCCCCCTGACCCAGCTGGAGGAGCTCACAGCCCTCACCCTGGCTTGCAAGACATGTGTTTCTACAGTCTTTCCACTAACTCCAGGAAGAACTTTAATTCTACTTGAATTGTAGGTTACAATAAAACATAATAAAGATTAATTATGTGTGTACAACCACACACATACAGACACACACACACACAAGTATGCCAATATGGCGGGGAGAAATCCTTGCTACGCCCGTGATATCTACTAGATTACACATACTAGTGAGTCTAGACCAAACCTCCCCCAGGGCAACGGAAACAGGGGATGGCAGTAGCAGGGAATGACAGTCTAGTCTCTAGATATTGACTACTGGATCTATTTCTATAGATTAGGTGTAGATCTAGAAAAATCTGGATCTTGTTAACAGTGCGCAATGTTATTATTATTACTTATTACATAGAATATATCTATATACACTGAAATCTTGTACTATTCTGCTATCAGTCTTGTAGCATCAAGATGATCTATATTATTCTATATCTAGTCATGATGACCTAGATCTTCTACATCTAGTCTACATCTTTATATTTTATTGTAGTAAAGCTTAATTAGCTCTCATAATAAGCATATTGACTAAATTATATATAAACAAGCCTTAGCCTGTCTTGCCTTTTACTTTATTCATACAGATTGCACGTGTACGACCATTAATTAAATTTAATGGAGACCATGCAGTCAGAGCAACTAGTACAACAACAGAGTCAGGTGGTTTCTCACTTCGTAAGTAACTTCATAAATGTTCTTTTTTTTTTTTGTTTGTTTTTTTTTAAATTTTTTACTTTTGACTTGTCATTATATCTCATGATATGTTTACGTTCTAAGAAGTTTTGTCATCTGGAATGACCTGTAAAAATAGGTCTTAAATTTTATTAGATGTAAATTAAATGTATTTTATTATTAATTGAATAGCTCTCAACTCTCATCAGTTTCGTTTGATGACTTCTATTAAAATTAGATTACAATCCAGAAAAATAAGCCATTGTTTTAAATCACCTTGGTAGAACATGACTTCTTTGATGCTGTCTAGGTCCTCCAATTTCTAATGTAGAAGCATAAGTTTCCCCTCCCAGAGACTAATATTTGTTCTTAATCAAAACTGATAACATCATTTGTTCTGAGATGGTCATTTCTTAATCAAAACTAATAACATCATTTGCTCTGAGATGGTTGTTTCTTAATCAATAGTAAGATGGTCCTTTGCTCTACAAATACTTTTTTTTCTTAAATAAAATTGATAAGGTCATCACAAGATTTACACACAAAAGAAAAATTATTTTCATCCAGTTTTCCTAGAACTAAATTACTTAAAGCCATTTAACAATACATGACTTTATACAAAATTAACATACTTTTTTTAAATAGAGCTTTCTCCTGAGCAACTGGAATTTAAAACAACAGCTCGAAAATTTGCTAGAGAGGAAATTCTACCAAAGGCAGCAGAATATGACAGAACAGGAGAAGTAATGGCATTGTTCATTTCTTTATTCTTTAATAGAGGGTAAGGTAAAGAGGCTCTTAGAGTTTTTCCAAAATTGTAATAACTTTTTCAAAGGAAACATTTAAAATTGAAATGAAATAGATTTGGGCTGACTTGTGCCTATTGTAAAAATTTTGACTTTCCTAGATCCTACAGTTAAATCATGTGTCATAGTATTATCATTCAGTCTAAATAAGATTTGCATAATTGGTAAATTGTTGTATTTTTATTTTTTGCTTAGTATCCTTGGGATCTGATAAAGAAAGCCTGGTCTCTTGGCTTGATGAACACACACATTCCAACACATTGTGGTAAGTTGCTTTGTTATAGTGTATGTCTCTATTTAATAAAAGACTTCAAACGTCTCAATTCAGCTATACACATCTGATATTTCTTTTCAAATGATGATGATGTTCTAGGATGATGAATAGAAATCTGCAAAACTAATTTTAGTCTGAAAAAAACTTGAAAAAAGATGTCCAATGTGGTTTTATGGGTCTATGATCAAACAATTTTTAATGTAGAATATATCTATTAAATGCTCAAAATATAAATTTGTAACTGTTATTTAAAAAAAAATATCTTGTAAGGATAAATGATCACATTTTATATTGTCAATTGTTCTAGAAACTTCTTCAAAGAGCTATAATTTTTGGTTAGAACTCCAGTATAGCTTTTACTTATCTTATATATTACAGACGTTACTTCTAAAAAGAAGATAATTACATCTTACACATTTCATGTGTCAATCTAGTAATGCATGTTAATAAATCACTTAAACTCTACTAAATCATTGGTTTTCCTGGCTGATTCAGGCAATGCATCCCATTCTCTAATAACACTAGGAAAGAAGAAGCACTTGTGCGAATTGGTTCTGATTTCTCCTTGGCTTTCAATACCATACAGCCACATCTAATGATAAACAAACTGAGTAACTTAAATGTCAGCCCTTATATATAAGCATGGGTTCTAAACTTTTTAAACCAACTTCTCCAGTTTGTTAAAGTCAACAACACCAAATCGTCAACTCAAGTACTATGTACGGGTGCTCCACAAGGTTGTGTAATTTCTCATGTACTGTACACTCTTTACACTAATGACATAAGAAGCATCAATGACTCAAACTCATTAAATTTGCTGATGATACTGCCATAGTTGGTCTTATTTCAGAAGATGAAATCAGTTTACAAACTATTGCACTGACAACTTTCTAGAACTGAATGTAACAAAAACTAAAGAACTTAAAATAGATTTCAGAAAGATAAACAGATGGTTCATGAACTACAGATAAACACTACATCAATACAACAAGTGAAGTCATATATCTAGGCGTCATGATTGATAACAAGCTTTCGTGGGAAGACCAACTTGGAACTCTACAAAGAAAACAGCCCAGTGGCTATTTTTCTTATACAAACTAAATAGCTTTAAACTAAATAAGAAGATCCTAGATTAGTTTTACTATGCAAAATCTGATAACATATAGAATAACTTGTAGGCAAGGCAATGCTTCATCGAAACTGTTGCGCCGCCTAGAAAACATTATAAAATGGGCATCAAAAATCACACGCACAACACTACCATATTTAAATGAACTTTTTGAACAAAAATGTCTAAGAAAAATCCTTATGTTGTGTCTGTTGTATTTATGTGTATGTTTCTGTTGTGTTGTCTTGTATGAGAAAGGAGTCCTAGTGATCTCAACAAATTCCCATAAGGATCAATAAAGCAGTCTTAGCATAAAGAATAAGAAATGTGCCCCTATCTTTGTGTCTCTCTCAGTATTTCATTAGGTTTTGTTTTTCTATTTGTAAGTTCTGGTTTAGTGTTTTATGTATTATAGCTACTTTACTTTTTATTCTTCTGTCCGGAAGTGTCTCTTAGTTAAAAAATTTTACTAGTGGTGTTACTCTAATCTAATTGGAATATTCGTTTGTAATAAATCTCACTGCTTTATTTTGTATTTGTTCTGGTTTCTTTGTTTTCTTGAGTTGAGGGATCTCAAACAGAGGATGCATATTCTAAATTGGCCTAACTAAAGTTAAATAGTATTTTAATTTTATGTTTTTGTTTCATTTGTAAAAGTTCCTTTTTTAATAAGTTCATCAATATGGGGATTCCATGATAACTTCTCATTTATTATTACACGTTTATTAGATATTTTGAATTTTTAGTCTGTGTGACTGGTTTACCTTAAATAAAGTAAGAAGTTTTTATTTGCTTTAGTTTTTTTTTGTTACTCTTAACAACTGAGATTTTTTTGGGTGGAAAGACATGCTCCAATTTGATTCCCATTTCTGTAATTTGTCTAATTCTTTTGTACAATGTTGTGTTGTTTCTATTGTTCTATATATTTTGCAATCGTCTGCAAATAATATGACTTTAGTTCCTGAACTAATGCAGTTTGGTAGATTATTTATGTAAATTAGAAACAGTTGTGGGCCTAAGACTGTTCCTTGATGTACACCTGAGTTTACTATTATTGGTGTTGATTTAGAGCCATTTATTATTTCAGTTTGTTCTCTTCCTATTCAAAAATCCTGAATCCATTGATGTAATGAACCATTAATGCCAAAGCATTTTAGTTTTTATACAGGCTATAGTGGTGAACTTTGTCGAATGCCTTTGAAAAGTCTAATAAATTTGCATCTGTTTGCTCACTTTTATCTAATCCCTTTGAAAAATCATAAATAAATCCTATTAGTTGAGTTTCACATGACCTTTATTTGCTGAAGCCATGTTGGTATAGAGTGAGGTTTATGTTTATCTAAGTGATATATGATGTTGCTACATACTATGTGTTCTA